CTCACGGTAACTCCCCACGAGACGCTCATGGGATGCGAATCGTCAATAACACATTCTATTCCATGATTTTTAACGTTACTAAATATCTTTTCGCAATTCCAATACACGTATTTTGTGATCTCTACAATAAAGTCATCTTCGGGTTCTTCGAGTTTATCGAGTTCACCGTGTCTATTCCACCAATATTTGTACTTGGTTTTTTCACAAACTCCTGTAACTTTTACTTCTTCGGTGTTTGTATAGACTAAATAATTTTTTGGACTAGATAAAAGATTGTCATTAGATTAAGCTTAGAAAATAATAGTAATAAAATTAGGTACACGAGAGTCGGTTTAAAGATAACCTTAAACGCAATTTATAAATAAATTCGCCTTGGGGAGAAAACTTGTCATTGGGCAGTCGTTTTGTTGCTTGAAGCGAAAGTTGCCATGAATGATCACTAAAAAATTTCTCGGATTGATAAGTTTATCTTAAAACGAAAAAATAATGTTTATGACAATAAATAAATATGAGAACCTACTGGTCGAGGCACGTCATTTTAATTGTCGTCACATTCTTTCTATTAGTGCTTGCACTCCACACTCCAAGTTTATTGTCATTCTTAAATTCATCGCTATTTTTCGTAAAACTGTCATTTCTAAATTTTACGTCAAACGTACATTCCCATTTCTCCTCTTTTTTGGTTTTTAACGAACGGGACGCAAATATCCTAAATTCCCGAGAAGGTTTATCATATATCCATTTCTGACCCTTCTCAGAGAGATTCTCAAAGACCGAGTTGAGTTGATCACGTTCAGTAGCGAGACTGAAGGACAAACAAAATGCGACATTGTTAAGTAAACACATTAATAGTCGGGAAAAAAAAATAGATGGATAAAAACTTGGTACGTACCATGTCGCAAATTTAGATTGCAAACGATGATCGCCCAGAACCTTCTTATTAAACGAGTCAACCGGCCAAACTATTTAACATAGATGCAAGGTTCTTCCATCAAATTAGGGAAAATTGCAGGGGCGGAGATCAAAATCCCCAAGTGTTCGAGATTATGGAAAGTTTGATGGAGAGGGAGATATTCGGAACCAAACACTTCTTCAAACCAATAAGCATATCATGAAATTTTTTGTTAACTCATTCGACATTCCTTAGCGTTTTAGGATTTACACGGCTAACACCTAACGACTGTAGAGATGAATCATTCATTTGATCTGAAAAGAGTAGCGATCTATTCATTTTGGAAGGAGGAAGGAACCCATAGATATTTGAGCTTTTCTTTCAGAGCATTTATTAAATGATTTGCGGATATTAGTTCTGTTATCATGCTCACATCTTCATTTGCAACGCGTATGTCTGATGACAATTGTGATCCAGGGAGCTTGACTAGAAACCGCACGAATTCACTTACTGTAAACACGAAACACGGACAGGGTGCGGTGTAGAGTTTTTTCATACAGAAATTCGCATCATGATTATGTCATAATTATACTGATTACGTCATTAAACTTTTAAATATTTTCGCTCGAATTTTTTTACTTCACACTTTCCCCCTTTTCACATCCACCAGGCACTTCGCCATGCCCAAAAAACGTGAAGCCGTCGTATCAGAAGAATCTGGTGAAGAAGGAACAAAAGACCTTGATCAAGAAAGCGAGGAACAATGTGATGAGGAAACAGCGGAACCAGTTTTTTTATTGATATCAGAACTCGAAGTATGTTAATAAAATCATCAACATTTCACGTGTCTTAATTTCATGATGTTTATTTCGTAACTACATAGAAATTTGGAATCAATTCTTCGGATATAAAAAAACTTATCGAACATGGGTACACTACTGTACAATCTGTCGCCTTCTCTCCTAAAAAAGCCTTATACGACATCAAAGGAATCTCAGAGATGAAAGCGGATAAGATTCAATTGGAAGGTGGACTCGAACCTTTCACATTTTTATGGAATTGACCTAAAATATTTTTATTAACGTATTTCATTATCTAGCCATTAAATTGGTCCCTTCAATGCAAAGGTTCGAGACGGCAACCGAGATTCGAATGAGAAGAGAATACTATCTTTACATTACAACTGGATCACAAGAATTGGACAGACTTCTGGGAGGAAGTATGTGATCGTCAAAAGAATTTTAATATATTAATAATAATAATATTATTATTATTACTTACTTATACAACTTAACATATTTTAGAAGGCGTTGAATCCGGGTCAATTACGGAGATATTTGGAGAATTTAGAACGGGAAAAAGTCAAATATGTCACACACTTGCGGTGGCCTGTCAGGCAAGATATTTATTTAACTTTCTACCGACAAGGAATACTATGATATTGATGTTCGATTTAATAAAGCTACCTGTTGACGTGGGTGGTGCGGAAGGAAAATGCATTTACATCGACACAGAAGGCACGTTCCGTCCGGAACGATTGGTTGACATCGCCAATCGATTCGGAATGAAACCTGAAGAGGTTTTGGACAATGTGGCCGTGGCCAGGGCATATAACACAGACCATCAAATGAATCTGTTGATTCAAGCAGCTGCAATGATGTCCGAATCAAGGTTGTATGTTTCGATGTTGCATACCACGTTCTTCAATAACAAAACGACTTATATCTATGTACCTTTTTAGGTTTGCTCTTCTTATTGTTGATAGTGTCACGGCTTTATACAGAACCGATTATTCGGGAAGAGGTGAACTTGCAGCTCGACAAATGCATTTGGCCAAGTTCTTACGAGGTCTTTTGCGCTTGGCTGACGAGGTAAATTGGATTCCCCAGTGGTTAATGATAGTTATCATCGAAAATATAATTATTCAAGACACTTACTTATTCTACAATTGAAGTATGGTGTTGCGATAGTAATTACAAACCAAGTTGTGGCAACTGTCGATGGAAATATGATCCCGGGTGGAAGTTCGGACAAAAAGCCTATTGGTGGAAATATTTTAGCTCATGCATCAACTACAAGGTAATTTCTTATTTCGATCAAAACCTTTGACATCATTCATTGAACCAATAATATTTGATGCCTGCAGATTATATCTACGTAAAGGGAAGGGAGAGAATCGAATTTGCAAAATTTATGATTCTCCATGCCTTCCCGAAGGAGACGCCAGATTTTCTATCGGTATCGGGGGTATCGAAGATCCGGTTGATTAATTGTGTTGGAAAGTTCATTCGAGTTGGCGAACTACAGCCTTGCAACCATCCTATCCAAAACCTTTTTAAATCTGCTTCCTTATTGCATATCATTCATCACATACTTTAAGGTTAGTAATCTTGCACAACCAATTTCTCATATACAGTATTTGTATATACTGTACGTACTACGTATACAAAAACTTAAAAGAATAAAAGCACTGGGTTCATGCACCGGTTCAATATTTCCCCCTTGTGACTTTTTTTTAAAACTAGTTTGAAAATCACAATTATACCAAATTTTATACATAGGCATGTGTACATCGTATGAGGTATTTTTGCCTATCGTTCACGTATGGACACACAAAACTGAGATATTTTTGCCCGTCATATAAATGTGTTGCATTGTGTAAACAATGATGCAATGGAAGGCATTTAAGTCGGCTGATCAATGGTGCTGATCTTATGAGGCATTTTTGTTGGGCTGATTTATCAATTGTTTGTAAGCAAAACAATTCGAATTCTAGCATTTTCGCGACACGACGAAAAACCTTATAAATATACCCTCTCTCCTACCTTCAAAAAAAAACAAAATCGAAGAAATATATTATTCGTCGAAAAAAAAATAAAAATCTCATATCAAAACTTCCATTCGTCCAACTACTAAATTATCAAAATGTGCGATAATTGTTCTTGCGGTTCCAAATGCCAATGCGGACTTACATGCTCTTGCCAAAAAACTACCAAGGTTAGGGAGGTTCAACCTTGCGGCAGCAGGTATGTCTAAACGATGTCTCAGCATTATTAATTTGTCTTTCTCGAAAGAGTCGAAGATTAATTTTTATTTTCTCCAAAATTTAATTTAGTACTTGCAACTGCGGAGAATCGTGTCAGTGCACCGCTGAATCCTGCAAATGTTGATGAATTATTATACGGGTCTAATTCCGTCAGCCTTTTCAACCACAAGCAAATTTAATTCATGGTTCTATTATTTCTACACGAGTCAACAATTTATTCATTGTCATATACGTCATTTTTATTTTTATTTTTTTTTTATTTTTTTTTGGTTTTATTTTCTTGATATCAATATGTACTGTTGGTAGCATGAATAAAATAAAAAGATAAAATAACGTGTTCGTCAAAATATGCCCATAGAAAAATTATGTTTAATGTAATACAAACCCGAGATCCTCCTGAGAAATTGCCAGTTTTACTCATTTACTATGTATAAATGTGGATGGATTGTGTGCATACCTCACTCTAACTTCGACCTAAAAAATGACAACAGAAAAAATATTTCATAAAGACATTTTGAAAGGAAAAGTTGCTCTCGTAACAGGAGGTTCGTATCATTTTGACGCTTACATTCGAACCTATGTAATTGTTTGGTTCTTTGGAATTGAAAAGGTGGAAGCGGGATATGCAAGGGTATGACCGAGGCGATGTTGAGGCATGGGGCCAAGGCTGTCATCACTAGCCGAAGGTATTATTCAATTATTTTACGTATGCTATTCAATTCATGCGGAGGGTTTCCCTCATGAAGTATGATGTATGATTTAATTAGTCAGGAAAGGCTCGACAAAGCCGCCGAAGAGATGCGGAGAGAAACTGGTGGTGAAATCCTGTAGTCTTCCTTTTTCTTGTTTTCTTCGTGTTGACTTCTTCAAAAGATTACACGCAATTTCACTAACACCGGTATATTAGCGCGATTGCTTCCGATGTCCGTAAACCAGAGGAAATCATAAAAGTCATCGATGCTGCAATTGAAAAGTTTGGAAAGATTGACATCCTGGTGAACGGTGCCGGTTAGCATTCATTTAACAGATGTCGAGATACAGCAAGATTTTAGCTCCAAAAAAAATCCCAAGATTCTAATAACGATCCTTCGTGTGTATAGCCGGAAATTTTTTATCACCTGTGGAAACATTATCCTACCGAGGATTTCGAACAGTGATCGAAATTGATTTGCTTGGTACCTACAATACCACCAGAGCGGCTTTTCCCTATCTGAAGGAATCGAAGGGCGTGGTAATTAATGTCTCGGCCAACCTTCATTATCAAGGTATGATTAAGGAATCAAGCGACGCGATTTTCAATCAAAAAATATTTACCGACATGCTACAACACTTTAGGTACACCTTATCAGGTATTGTTTTACTCGAGCGTAGTTGTGATTATATTCTTCCTTTCCACGGAAGACGCAATGCTGATTTCAATGCCATCGATCTTTTCACATTAGTCCCACGTATCTGCGGCAAAAGCAGGTATTGATGCATTAACTCGGGTACATTTCGATGCCTCCAGGAAATCCTATGATTTGGCACATGCCTGCTTGGCCTTATCTTATTTTCGTTTTTCCCAAAACTAGGTGCTTGCGGTGGAGTGGGGACCGCATCAGATCCGGGTGAATTGTATCGCGCCCGGTCCAATTGAAGATACTGTAGGTATTAGCAAGTTGGCGACACAAGCACATATTGCCGAAGGGATGAGAAGTATTCCACTTCAGAGATGGGTTCGTTTTCTATCTTTGTTTATGATCATGTGTTTTAACGTTTTCGGATCGATCAAAACTTTTCCTTCTACGCCCACACAAAAAAAAAAAAGGGAAAAATCAGGGACATTGAACATGCAACATTATTCCTAGCTTCAGAGGCGTCAAGCTTCATTACTGGCACCGTGATTTTGGTTGATGGTGGTGATGCGTTGAGAAAAATATGGCCGTTTCCGTATCCGGAGGGTGTCGTTAATCCGGAAAATTTTTTGATTAAGAACAAATTATGAAATGTCTTGTTACTCGATGTGATCACTCAATGTAATAATAGATATCACATATCGTTCCCTATTGACTGACTTTCAGGTGATTATTGAATTTTGTTGTGGTCATGCTTGGTGATGATGATCCATCTCTTTTTTTTTTTTCCCACCTTTATTGAGAAGCTAAATAAGATGAACGAAGGAGTTAGTTTGGTTTATTGATGTTACTCTTTATATAATAAACAAGTGGATTAACGCAAAAAGTCGTTCGTAAATGATGGAATGCACAGGAAAAGCCAAACAGCAGAATTCTCATTGCAATAACAATGATAATAATGCTACTTCGGAAGATGGTGACAATGTACCATCGTCTAGCAATGCAATGGTGCTATGGAAGTTTGACAACCCGTATGCCAATTACAAGAAAGATCTCGAAAGAATATTTGTGCTTGATGGATACACTCGTGTGTGTTAACATTGAGAATCAGGATGTTGACATATTAAAATTGTTATTCATTAACATACTGTATAATTGAAAGTTCGTATTTCTCAGAGATTGACAGAAAAAATTGACATCACGAAGAATACGGGTAACGTTGTGTGGGATGGGGTACGTTGCAACAAATAAATGAGTGCTTTTTTCAAGTTTTTAGTTTCATTGCTTTGTTGGTTGATTCGTAAAAAAAAAATCCTCAGGCATATATACTCAGTAAGTACATAGTTGACCATGTTGAAAGGCGGGATCAAAATCAAGTCAGGTTCTTGGAATTAGGTTCAGGTTGTGGACTCGTGGGGTTGGCTGCCTGGATCAAAGGTAAAAATATAACCAATACCTTGATTCATCTATCAACATTCCCGTTTTTATGCTTCGTATGTTTTGAATAGGAGGACATGTGGTATGCTCGGGAACAAAGACGAATATCGAACATACCCGAATGAATGTGGAAAAGAATGTTGAATTAGTGTTGAGCCAGCAACAACAGCGACGAATGGAGTCACAGGCTAATGTCTTGGAAACAGCAAGGAGAATGCGAGACACAATGATGCAATTACGAAAAGAGGATATTGGTGTACATGTATTAGATTGGTAGGCTTGTTGTAAATGCTTGAACCTTTTGGTCTAGCCCTGACATAATTCCCGATGGTTTAATACGAAAGGCGAAGACTACCGGCAATTGATGAGATCTCGGACCCAATGCATCGTCACAATTCCAAAACATTCGATATAATACTGGCGTCGGAATTATTATATTTGCCAGAATTACATCGGGATTTGGTAAAAACCATGATGTACTATTGTCATAGAGATGATAGAAGAGAAGCAGATGACGAGAATGAGAAAAATAACGAGAATAAGACACGCGTGCTTGGCATATATAAAGAGCGTGGTCTCGGTGAAGGTGCTTTCTTTGATATTGCTAGAGTGCTAGGAAAGTTTGAAGTTGAGTGGGTAATGTACTTCGATGACTCTCTTTTCCCTAGTAAATTTTCATTTGAGAGTGATAACGAATCTTCATTTGTTTTTTTTTAGATTGACACTAGTTATTGGGCGATAAATCGAGATTCAAATTACAAAATGTTCTGGCTGACGAGCTCGGAATGAGATAAAGCGTTTAGCACAAATCGATCATTGGTCTTACAAAAATTTTGATATTTTCACATTTCGATCACACACGTAGAATTTAAGAAAATATTTAAAAATCGATTTATTTATTTATATATAATAAATATGAAATGACAAATAATATTCATCGCTTCGAATGTGATATTGTGTAGAATATATGGACGCGTGCACCATGAACTAAGAAAGAGGGTTCTTCATGGGCCAAGAGTTATCACAAATCGACATCGCTGATAATTGAATAATTTATTAAGCACTGTCATTATTACTTTTAAGCCTTATTTGTTGGCTGCATTTTTAACATGATACTTACAATTTCTCAGCGATTAGCTCTTCTGAGTAGTTTCGGCGGTCTTGGAGCCGTTGGTGCTGCAAGAGCAGCTGGAACCGCAGTCACAACGTAAACCACAAGGACAAGTGTTTTGCATTTTGAATTTAATAGTAATTGAAAAGGTATGGAAATGTTTTCTTCTTGTGTTTATTCGAGAGTTTAGATTCGAATGAGGATACAGACGAAGGGAAAAGATGATGTATTTATAATGTTTTTTCAGTATTTATTTGATGCATATATTTATGTTCGTGATTGAGGCGTTGTCGAAGATGAGATTTGATAAAAATCAACCCCAATAACTTTCGGCTATCTTACTTTTCTTGGGAGAAATATTTACTTTATTATTTTTGCGCGTCGTTACTTTGTGAGGCAACGTTGTGATCCAATGTCTTTGTTCGATTCGTTACGCGTTATCATCTGACAGTAAAACACTTCAACTTTTACGACAATCGGAAAAAAGTTCTTATAGATGACGCAGTGAAAATAATCTCATGTGCTACGCCTTTGAAGATACGTTAGAAAACGAATTTTATCTTTGTCGGAAACGTGTCTTTCGAAATGCTATAACCGGTTTATTTTGCACAATTTCGGAATTTTGAAGGCGTTCTCGTTATCTTTTGATCGCTCGTCTACTGTAGCAAAAGTATTTTGTGTTGTTTTTATTCTAATTCATGCATCGACATGATGCGCCCATCTTTGTTGTACATCTTGATACAGAATGCGCAATTTTTGCCTGTGCAATTTTTTAAGTTTTTTCCCATCGCCGTTCGAATAGGAATGCGCTATTTTCGCCGTTAATTTGTGTAACCGAATAGACTAGCATATTACGTACATAGTTTACTATAATAGACAACACCTCATTTAATTTTAGATCAGATCCAAAATCGTTAGGGCCCCTTGTACGTCGTCATGCAGTTAAATTGATAAAGAAATGTGTCGTGTGGGGCCATAATTCATTGATAAAATTTATATAAAGTATACACGCATTACTAATATATTATATTATAATTTTATTAGTCTTTTTTTTTGTGCCCATTTTATTTAAGTTTCAATTCAATTCAATTTAACAATTGCCAGCGATTAAATTAGTTTAGATATTTATTAAATCTTGTAAAAAACCATTCATCTCTAGGTTATTACATTACGATCAAATAAAATTGAATTTTAAATTTGATAATTTGATAAATCCAATATAAAATAATGAATTGAAAATTGAAATTATAACAAATAATCATTTGATTATTTATTTTGGTACTTAAATAGCAATTTTATTATTTTAATTCAATTGCAATTTTTTAAATGTTTGTTAACATAGTTTGAAACAAAACTCCTTGTTCTAACTAATTTCAATTTTTACTTATTATCTACAATCGAATACTCATTTGATGGAATTTGCAATAAATAAAAATTTGGTTATGCGCATCAATGAATTTAAAAATAAAATTACCTGATTGTTTTAATTAATTTAATCGGTAAGTTTATAAAATAAAGATAAATAAAATTCTTAAAATCAAATTTTTATATAGAATTTTTTTATCAATTAAAAAAAAAAAAAAAACTTGATTATACGGTATATACTAAATATATATATATTGAATTGATATTTTGAGTTTTTTTTTAAAAAAATTTTAAGTTAATTTTATAAAACAAAAATAATTTAAAGCATTGCTTTAACATAATTATATATACAGTATGGCACAAAATTCTTTGAACAAAAATTAACTTATAATTTTTATTCATGATTTAATGACTAATAAACAAAATAAAATTATTTAAGTGAATTTTTTAAAAATATTTTTAAAAAAATCATGAGTATTTAATTTGAATGTAAAGAATGGATTTTTTATAATATTCAAATTTGCATTATATATTACAAAATAAAAAATTTTTCTTGAAATTATTTTAATGAATAGATTTGTTAAATACAAACAAATAATTTAATAAATTAATTTTTTTTAATTTTTTTATTAACAAAAATTTTTTGTTATTATAAATTAAATTAAATAATTAATAATTTTAAAATTTTATAGAAATATCATATAAAATCAAATTTTTTAAAAATTTAAAAAATTTTTAAAATTAATTTTTTATAATAAAAAATTATTTATATTTAATAAATAATTTATTTTTTTTTTTATAAATTGAATTTTTTTAATTTTATAACTAATTTTTTTATAAAATTTATCAAATAAAATTATATTTTTTACTATTATATATATATATAATTTATATATATAATTTATTAATAAATAGTATTTTGAAAAAAATAGTAAAAACTCTTTTTGCTGATTCTTTACCCACACACAAAAAAGATGTTCACAAGAAATTTTTTATTTCTTTGCTAATAAAGTCTTAATATTATCCCTAAATCAACTTGAAGTTTTATTTCAAAAGATATTCCTAAACCCTTTTTTTGTTTATATTCATCTTTAAACCAAAACCTGATTTCCTATAACCTAGAAAAATCAAAAAACACCTTCTTTATTTATGGCAAGAAAGTTTTGTAAGGAAGAAGAACTAATAGTGTAACACTCAAAACCTTTTATATTGAAGTATATTTATAGAGGCTTTTTATAATGGGAGGCAACAAACATTAAATCATATTTTTAAAGTATCTATTAACTATTTTTTCTCTATTATAGTTGTCCAAAAATTTTTTTGATTTTCTGAGAAATTTTACCTATCTTAGTTTAATCCTGAATTTTAAGTAATACAATCTATTGCAAAATATGATTGGTGGACTCAAAACATGTCAATGGTTGAATGTAAACAAGTCCTTATTAGTCACCTAATATGTTTCAATAATATTATTGATAATTGAAAAAGTTGATTGGTGTCCTATGTCTGTCTCAATTTTTCAATTGGGTTAACCTACAAATCAAGTTCTATAAGACCAATAAAATACAAGCAACAAGTTTCCAGATATTAAAAAAGCTACTATTTATTCAAGTTGAGATCTTTCTCTTCTATTATTCCAGTTAGGCAAATTTTAAAACCAAGGTTTTCTTTTTATCCTGATCAAGCAATAAGATTGAACAGCCTCTAATCCGTGCTAAGTTCCAACTCTTTAATTATAGTTAAGAATGTATTTTTTTAGAAGTTATTAAAAAATGTCATAATTAACAAGAATTCCTATCACTTTCAAAATTCTCTTATCATTATAGGACAAAAAGATTATTGGAAAATCTAACTTTTGAATAATGAAAAATGTATACCAGTAAAATTTTTTTAACTGGATATAACTGTTGAAAGGTATAATACTGAAACAACATGATCCAATTCTTATTATATAATATAAAAATCTAAAATCCATTATAAGTTACCCTTCTATCACAGGTAAAAATGGGTCCCTAAAGAGGAAGACAGGGACAAAAGTCAAATGTCTCTAACTAGGAAACATTAAAATTTTTAAATTAATAACTATAAAAAAACTATTTACAATTGTTCTCCATTATTCAAATCATTGATTTATAATATTTTCTAATTTTTGTTCCTATTAAAATAAAGAGCTATGAATTTTGTCCCTTAAAAAGGGACATAAGCGATCTGCAAATTTTATATACTAAATACTTTAGAGACCCATCGTTAATCACAGATAAATAAAAAATTATTGTCAAAGAAGATTGGAATCAAGTATATTCTAGAAGTAAAGGTTCTCACCAGATAATAAGTCTTCTCAGACAATGCATAAGAAGAAAATCAAGATCAAGAATGGATAAGTTCCTTAGATAGTCAAGAAAAGAAAAAATATTTCAATCAGGTATTTCTTATTAAGAAGAAATCTTGAGAAGCAGACCTTTGGAGAAAGTTAAAAATCTTTTTTTCAAATTTTTACCTTTTCATTTTCTTATTATCTATTTAGACATTTTTAAATATCCCATTTCTCCTTTTTTTTAACCTATTCTTTTATAGTTTCTTGTATTCTAGTGGCTTAATAAGACACACAGCAGTGACAACCTGTTGGCAATAATATATTGAATTAAAAAGATTTTTACTTAAAGATATTGCAGAGCGAAATATTATTCCCAAGATCAAACTTAAAGGCTCTTATGCTTATAATAAGTGAGTTAGATTAAACTAATAGTTTAGCTATAGTTTTTTTTTTTTAAATGCTGGCTCAGCCTTGTTTTTTTGTATTT